TCTCTGTAATTTCCCCTCTGTGATCACGTGCCCCGAAGTTGGGGCTCTGGAGCATACTAGGCCAGGTTCTGCCCCTTGTTGATCTCCATCGAGTTCTTTACTCTTGACCTTGCTTGGCTTCCTCTTCCACTTCACTGAGCAAAGTGGAAGGGTTACCGTAGATAAATGGCTTGTCATTACAGATATCTACAGGGGTTCGGTGATGAATTGGGCCAGGTGTGGACTGTGGTGAATTTGAAAGCACATGCCTCTTTAGAGGGGCAGACCCTGCTCAGCCCCAGCCAGACATTGGCACACTCCACTGGGGCCTGATATGGCCATTTTCCATGAGAAATCACAAGGCCAGGCGTATATGTGAAACTCATGATTAAAAATGTTGGTGACAACAGCCGGGCAAGTGTTGCTCAGTGGTTGAGCATTAATCCATGAACCAAGAGGTTCCCGGTTCAATTCCCTATCAGAGCACATGCCCAGGTTGCAGGCTCGACCCCCAGTAGGGGGCATGCAGGAGGATCAAATGTTTCTATCTCCCTTAAAAAAATCAAAAACATATTTTTAAAAAATCTTGGCAACAAACTTGAAATTTTATAAACCCTGTATGAGCCAAATAGAACACATCTGCTAACCAGATCATATCCAAAGATTTGGAGTTTGTAATCTCTGGAGAAATCACCAGTTAGCATCCCACAGAAGATGAATGTGCCGGCCCCCAGCCTGTACTCTGCATCAGCCCTGTGCTGTTGGCAGGAACTGTGAGCATCACAGCGTACCAGGGAATTGTTCGGGGCCTTGCCAGCATTATCTTTGTGTCCAGTCTTCTTATTTACCAAAATGTTCCATTCAAAGGAGACTTTTTGGAGACAAAAGTGTCCTTGTGGAGGTAGACAACTTCCGGGCAGCTCAGGCAGGTTCCATCTTTGTGGTCCTCTCCTCTTCAGACTGGCCTGGCTGCACTGAGATTCTGAACAGTGAAAGCTGCTGCTTATTAACTGTGTGACCTTGAACGTGAGCCATGACTAAGATCCCTAGCTGGGCCTCGGTATCCCCCACTGGTTAAATGAGAGGGTTGGTTAAAGTAACTTTGGGAATCCTTCCATCACTGACAATTTCAAGTTCTTCATTGGGAAAAGGTAGGCTTCTGTAAGGTAAGCCTTTGGCCTTCCAGGATGGGCTGCCATAAATGGCTCACTTAGCTCAGTAGTACAGGTGATTTAAAGGGTGATGATTAGATAGCAATGAATAATACTAAGAAATGTTTAGGACCAAATACCTGAGCTGGGCACAGACAGGGACCTAAAAATGAATAGGAACATATACAAAACAACGCAAAACCGTAAAAACATTACCACCACCAACAACAAGGAAATCCTCCAAGCCATTATTTCAATTTAGGGAAACAACCATCACTTTGCTTCTGTGTCTTATGAACATGTTAAAGCAGTTCCTTAATTAATTGCAGGCCAGTGCTTCTCACATTTGGATTTGCATTCAATCACCTGGCACTTGTTAAAATGCAGATTCTAACTCGGGGGTAGGCTTAAGATTCTGCCTTTACCACAAACTTCCAGGTGGTGCTGCTGCTGGTGGTTCCTTGGCCACACCTTGAGGACTGAGGTGTCGGCCCCGCCCCGCCCTCTGAGCCCCAGTGCAGCCTGCTTCACTGTCACTGTCATCCTTGCCTTTTCTCTCCGCCTTAGCCTCCATTTCCAGGCATTTCCTTTACTCTTTAACCAGACAGTCTGATACTTAAGTTGACTAGGAAAACAAACAAACAACCCTCTCCCCACTACTGGATCCTTAAGTGTCTTTTCTACTGTATCAGGGTGCTTTAGGAAGGGACCTCAGCACATCCAAACTCCACGGCTTGAGCTGCCAGAACAGTGCTTCAGGGAGTCTAAAGAGAGCATCTGGGCTCCTCCGGGGGCAGACACTTGCCCTGCCCTGGAAGGGAAAGCATCACAGCTCTCCCCCGGCTCTTGTAGATGTCAGCTAACTAATAACTAAGCCCTGCTCTGCGGGTAACTCTGGACTTTGGTGAAATCATTTAATGCAAATGTTAATTTATTCTCATAATATAAAAATTTGCCCTTCTGAGGGGCTGGGGGAAGTATAGATATATACCAAAGATTCTTCCTTTTAGAACTAAGGATTACAGGCCTCAACTATCTTTAATTCGGCCTTTATTAAAGTTAAGATGAGACCAAAGACCACCAGCTTCTGTAGCAGGAATCTTGAGAGAATCCAGGTACTTTTGAGAATGCAGAGTCCTGAGTCAACAAATTTCCTTTATTAAGTACATAAGGTAAATAGAATAGTGAAATGTGAGCCGTCACACATTTTAGGTCAAATCTATTTTGTACATTATTATCATAAAATTGAGATTCTATCTAAGATTTCACTAAATAAACAAGTAATAATGAAATTTTTATTTTAATACCTTTTGAAACAATGACTATTGATTTTCAATCTTTTTCATCTACTGGCACACGTAAGCTAATTACTAAAATTCTGTGGCACACCAAAAACTGTGCTCTACTTTTTTGCTAATCTCATGAAAAAATAGGTATGATTTTGATTCATTCACACCGGACAGCTATTGTTATGTTGTGATTTTTTTATTTGACGGTCTAAGGCTGAATAATACTCCTCCACTCTAAGTATGTATACACCACATTTTCTTTATCCATTCATCGGTAGGCAGGACATTTAGGTTATTTCTATATCTTGGTTTAGCCTACTTCTTGAAGGGACAGACATCCTATCACCGTATTCTGTTTATTAGAAGACAGTCACCAGGTCCAGCCCACACTCAAGAGGAGGGGACCGCACAGGATGTATTGTGACACTGGGGTATTTGGGGCCTTTGTGACACATAGTAAGGTGTCAGTGAATGAGTTGGATCCATTACCTTGCAGAATCGCTCGCTGTCCTTAGCAGGGAGATGCATACACCAGGGTTTCGTCCAGTCTTTGTTCAGATTGAGCTCAGGTTGGCTGTGATTCACCAAGCAGCTAACACTCTGAGCTGTAGGTCAAGAACTGGTGGATTATCATGCATATACAATTTGTTCTATAAAGTATGTACAGGTGGTTATGTTTGTTTGCATGGCTGTCTTTAAGTTCTGATAAAGGAATTAAGAAGGAAGGGAAGCCTAAAGCCAGAGGTCCACTTTAAGATGATAGTAAGCTAAGTATGGTGGGTAGGAGGGTGGCCATGGGATTTTAAAAGGTTACGTACAACTGGCTCCTTCTTGCTGTACAGATCTCAGCTTGAATGACACCATCTCAGAGAGGCCTTCCCTCTCCATCCAATTTAAATTAGCCATCGCTTCCCTCTTCATCCTCACATAGTCCTTGGCACCCTCTGGCTCAGTTCTCTGCTTATGTCCTTGTCTATCTCCCCCATGAGAACTAAGCCCGGGAGAGCAGAGACCTCACCTGTCTTGGTCCATCCCTGTGTGGTCAGCACCCCGAATGGGGCCTGGGAAACTAGGCTCTCAGTAAGTGCTTACTGACTAAACGCATGAATCAAACATGGAGACGTGAGATTATTCCAAGGAGTTTTGGGAATTATAACATTTTCGTGACTTCCGAAAGAAATGCCACTTACTCGGTTAACATGGAAAATACATTAATTTATTTTTTAAAAGAAAACAGTTTTAAGATAGTGGGGTAGTTTTAGCCCTATCACTTATTGCTCCTGGGCCATTGGGCAAGGCAGGTCACTGCTCTGGGCTTCAGTTCCCTTGGAGGGTAAATACCAGGGCTGCAGATCAGGGGGCTTCAGACTGTGCCGTCCCCAGACCCCAGTTGGACAGGGACAGCTCCGTGTTTACAGCATTGGTCTGCCACCTGAGGTTTTGGTTGAAGAAAGGATCCTGTGGC